GTAGTTGGGTAAGGAACACGCCAATTACCAACTGAAGAAATCTCTGACCGAAGAACTCATGCATTGCATTAATCCCCATTCGAGTCCTGGAGAGTTGAAATCTCCGAACAGCCTTACGTGTTTGATAAACCGATCTTTGGCTCACTGACGAGTGTGTCATCCGTATTCGTCGACTAATTAATCGTTTCCGTTTTTCTGATCTTCAGTATCCGTGACTGAGTTCGATGCCCATGTGCCGGAGAAACTAAATCTTCACTGAGGTCGGCATTTATTGGCTTCCTGGCAGATGCTTGTCTACTCATATTATCCTGGCTATGAACCCAGTGGGTTTTTCCTTCCCTTGTTATTGCACTCGTAACTGACTTCAACTAATTAGCCGCAATGAACCCCCTTCAATCACTTAGCACGTTAGAAGCACAGAATTTGAAAAAAACATATAGTGGACCTACTCCAGCCGCTTATTGCAACACTGCGTCTCTTGCGAGTGCCAACACTTGCACAACTTGTTTCTTGTCCAATCACGGCTGTCCAAACTGGCCAATCATCTCGAAGGCCGAATTGGATGTGATTTGGCGGCTCAGAACATGCTCTGCTCTAGCTACGAACGTTTCCTTATCGGTCCTCCAATTACTCTCCGAAATTGTGCCCTCTTCCTTCGCCTTCTATTCAGAATTGGGACGAAAGTCGTAATGTTTAAGGAGAGGACTCCTGACTGTTTCTGTAAAATTCCACATTTGCACTGTTGCCAAATAGATTGCAGTTTAATTTTGGGTTAGTTGTGATTCGCATAGCACCTTCTGTCACTCACCGACAGCAAGCACAGACTATATGTGTAAAATGTCGCCTCCAAAAATAATGCGCACGTCATGCAAGCAGAAATTATGCCTTTTGGCGTATCCGTGCGCACGAAGTGGGAACCAGACCGTGTGTTGCACACGTAGAAAGAAGTTTTAGCTCGGCCAGCCACTACGCCCGATCCAATCACTAGCTGATTAAGACTCGAACAACCAAATGGTTCATGGAAAAGGGAAGGAAGAGTGAGATCGACATTGGAGAATTTATCCCCATGGCATGCCAGTGCATTCGGACGTACTTGAACCTATCACGACGGACTCAGAGTTGCCGCTTAAAATGCCGTCAAGTGACGAGATAACTCGGTCGTTCTCAGACCGTGATCACGCCTTTATGGCTTTCTCAGTCACTTAAAGTTCGAGTCGCACTCACAGAAGTTTGCCACATGTGGAGTGTGGACCAGGTCTCATGTGACATGAACAGGCGGGCTCTCTAAATTTGCCAGCCACTTCAAATGCAGTGGCTCAGCCTTCCCAACGTCTCTTACAAAGTTGTCAGCTGCTGCCATTCTAGTTGAGGGGTTTGCGAAGAATGGTGTAGTCCTAACGAAATGAGACCGGTTAATTCGTGGGGATATTAGGCCCAAGAGCCCAAGAGCTACAGTGTAAAGACCATTAAGCGTAAGTTATGACCACTTTACGAAATAAAAAACAATGAACGACTAGAAGTAACAAAAAACGACAACTTACAAGATAAAAAATCTTCACGTAAAGTAAGGCCCTATCAGCAGCAGGGCCGAGTCCGGATATGTATGATTTACAAGACGGTCGAAATATGTCCACCTGCTTTTGCATATCGTCATGCACCTCTATGCCAGCATATTTCCACCGGGCCTTTACATCACGTGAATTTATAACTTCTCGCATCTCGAAGGTTCACGCCTATTCCACTGTCGCTAAACTACAATACACTCCAAGCCGAGGCTTAACGAAGACGATTCCAGGCAGATAAAGGTATAAGTTTGCCCCGTTTTGCCTTGAGGCTCAACGTAGAGCCTTTGAATGCAGTCATACGGCGACTGACAAAAACAAGAAAGATTATAATGGCCATTCCAGGCTTACTAGTTGTACTTAGCCAGTCCTACCTAATTCCAAGTGTGAACCACCTGGGATTCAAACCCAGGTAGTTTGGTTATTAAGTCTAATGTCCTACCACCGAGCCACGAAAAATGGTGGCATATTCTGCTTGAAACTAGCTACACGCTGTAACCTCCCAGAAGTTAACAGCACTTGCCGCCCGGGATCATTGAGAAACATTTTATGATAAATGTCAAGGCACCACCGAACTCGACTCACCGTCGTTATTGTTAGAGGTTCACGCGCGACAGGAAACTACAACGCCGCAGAACACGCCTGCCTTACCATGCGCGTGCCTGACTCGACAAACAAGATGCCGCCGGACAATAGGCGAGACTCCGGCGACGGCAATCCGCGAGTGTCTGTTCACGTTGTAGGCCTACCGATCGGAGCCCAGCTCTTCAACTCGCTCTGGAAAGAAAATCGAGATAGCGATGAGCTGGTTACAGTAGCACACTACAACGGGGAGAATTCATTGGGAGATGTAACAGAGAGTAATGGTCATTGGTAGCCTGAGAAGCAATTTCAATGTCAGAGACACAAGGGTCGCCTAACAACAAACAGATAACCGGACGTGATGAAGGTCCGGTAACACTGGAAAAGACAATAGTTACCAGACAACAGAGCAGGCACTCGTGTTCGGTGTTAGACTTCGAATTTAGATGAAGATAGCGCATCTTCTCGCACTTTTCTCTCCCACCAAAGCATCGTAGCTGCAGTCGTGCCGTCATTTTATGTCCAGCTTTTATTGAAGACCTAGCATATGTATTTCAGAGGATGACTTCAACGCGAAAACCCAACTTTTTCTCTTGTCTTTAGGTTATTTCTATGTTGTTTTGTATCCAGTGACTGTTGTGGCAACTAAAATAATGCATGCACTCCAACCACTACAACTCCACGCGCAGTCCAGTAAGCGACAAGGTGCGAAGATACCGGAATGGGTGCTGCAATCTGTTCGAAATCAAAAGGCGAGATCAGCAAATTTGCGGGGTAACCGCAATTGAGTTGAAAGGGTGCCTTTATCTAGATCAGGATTCTTGCATCCGCCTAAGTACACTGCTGTCTGAGTGACCCCGATTACGTGTTTGTCTGCGCGTTGCGTTAGAATGAAGCGGTCGGTGGACACGGCTGACAGCGCCCGATCAAAGAAATTGGTCGCTATGTTCTCAAGGTAGTTGTGAGTGAGAGGGCAAAACTTTTCAAATAATTAACATGAAGGCTTTTGAAAACGGGCCGCCATTTTTCCTTCCTCCACTCGCATCCTGATATTCTCATATAAATATCGGTTGGCCGAGTACGCTCATTAGAAACCAATTTTTAACCCGCATTGTTTATTTGAACTACAACAATCAGGTTATTCACGCACGACGCTAGTGCTGATTTGAAGGAAGTTTAATTAAGCCCACATTTTGTGATATATTCAGGGACAATTCTTCACGATATCGTCAATTGAAGTCTTTGGCCGTTACGCATTACTTATGATTCTCCGGTGTTGTGTAATTTCTGTGCCTTTTCTATTCATGGTGAATGGAGGACGCTTTTGCTGAAAATTTTGAATGATATTTTAAAAATAAGGCGTATTTCTCTCCCTCTACCCTAATAACAATAGTCAACAATTAAGACTTGAAATTTCGTTGTTCTTCTTGGCTGAATTTGATTGGTTGCCAAACTACTCTCGGACGCGTTACTAAGGCCACGAAAGTGGGCGCGGCCATCTGTTATAAAATCGATTGCACTTTGTGCAGAGAAGCCGGGGCGCGCTATCACACGCCATTTCCTGCACCGTCACGCTGCAGAGCGGTCGTATTACTGTCCTGACGTTCCTGTTCACCTATACTCTTTAAATTGTGCTTCTGTTGCTCTTGTTCAGCATGTTCGAATCCGTTTCGAGGAATACGCGTTATAGGCGCGTGTATACACGACTGAAAGAATACAGTATGTAGGTAGTGCCGCAAAAACCTGAAAAATATGCAATTTGATAGTCGAACTGCGGGAACTGCAGCGACCTCATGCCCGAGATTTACTCCTTTCGTAGCTATCCTTCCATTTAACTAAACTCTAGGTAGTCTCCACGCAAATAACTGACGCATTTCAATACTACAGAGCATTTGAGTTTGCACCGTGCACACTGCCTTCAGCCGGGGAGATGTCCACAATGTCATTATTTCCCCCCAGACTGATGATTCAGATGTGGAAAGCCAAAACAATTCCATTTGGTAGCACAATTCTCTTTCTTATTTACAAACATTCGGATAGAAATCACACACCCCCAAGGGTGCAGAAACAGTGGGAAGGAAAGAAAAAAAATAACAAGGTAGTCATGATATTGCAAAGAAATTTTGCGCGTGTGGGTGGGTGAGTGTGTGTTTTAAATGCAAAAGTTGCGGCTGGGTGAGGCGGGTCAAGGCTCGAGGGGCGGGGGGGGTTGCAAAAATG